TCAAAATCCATGAATGGCAGAGAGATACACTACATAGCCAAAAGTATGGACACCTTTCCTTATGTTTGAGTTCAGGTGTTAAACGTTTAAAAATTCAGAAGTTGAGTATAGGTTCACTGGTGGTTTTGCATAGTAAACAAAACAGATACTTGCATTACAGACATAAACTCTAGTTCATATCATCACCACTGTAAAGAAATCACAGTCAGTAAGTTTCTCTACAATGAACCGTTCATCAAACCACTCTGAATGACTTTGTTTACATCTAGTTTAATTGAACTATGGAGACATTGGTGGAGTTCTCATTTAATTCATTCACACTTGGTCAGTAGTTTAACCATACACTGTAACACAATACACACCAACACATTTCATGCCATACATGACACATCCAACTTCACCCATACCAGCACATTTAGTGTCATACATCACACTGCCAGTTCCACTCCGGTGTTATTAGCAATGAAATGGTTACAGTCATCATATGTTGTCATTCAAATTTTGTTCAACATATGATGAGAATACTGATCGAATTGAGAACTGAATCAAATCAAATCATTGAGCTGAGGGCATCATTACACTTCCATTGTGCGAGACAAATATCCAGTTCAGTACCAAACAACTTAAATCTCTGTGCTTTTAGCATAAGACGAAATGGGTATAAGAGTACATCACCCCATCCCCCCATGAATAAATATATATGTACTCAACTGTGTGTGAAGTCTTTCCACCAGGTTCTGAAGGATTCTTGTTGAGTCACAGAGGTGCTTATGTGTAAGTGTGGAGGACAGGAATGGACAAGAGACATGTCTTATTAGCTATACGGGAAAAAACCCACATGCTAGCACATATACATTAAATTTACTCAAACACATTCATGCACACACTTCCACTATCAATCAATCTTTATTTAAACTCTAAGTACACTGAGGGTGACCCTCATTTACAATGTACCTGAGTCAATACAGAAATCAGGGACTGAAAAAAAATTATTGTAAAAACATATCAAATAATAACAATAATTATAATAGTAAATATAATAGTAAAAAAAACTGTTTCATTAAACCATTATAAACCATAAAAATGGCAAAAATAAAATAGACAACAGATCAAATAAGGATAAAATAAATAAAAACAATTAATTAAATAAATAAAATAATAGAAAATGTAAAACAATAACTCAGCAGTAACTAAAAAGTAAATGTTGATCATAAAATAAAAATAAATGTCACATAACAAATAAAACATCAAATTAAAAGTTAATAAATCAAATAAAACAACTGCTGGCTGAGTGGAGGTGGTTAGAGACTAAAACCTTAAAATGTTCATGTGATACCAGCAAGCAAAATTTTAGAGATTCCTGTGATGAATTCCAGCTTGCTGGTGCACTGTACCTAAAAATAGATTTTCCCAGTTCAGTGAAAGCCCTTGACACCAGAAGTTGATCCAGTCACTAGAACAATTCTGATAGGATGCATTATTTACACTGAGCATTTTTGTGATGTACAATGGCATATGGCCAGTAAATGCTTTATAGATAAAAAGAAGCCAATTTGTCTCCCGATGCACAGCCAGAGATCCAGTCAACCTTTTTATATCGTATACAGGGATTTGTATTGTATGGGTCACCAGTAATGAATCTTAAAGCAGAGTGGCATACAGTCTAAAGATTTTAGAGTGGTTGCAGATGCATATCTGTATATCGCCATAATTCAGAATAGACAAAACATTTTTTTTTTATTTGTGTGAACTGAGAAACACATTTTTTTTTTCAAAACAGGAACAACATATACACACTCACTGATGTATTAAAATGTTAAAATCAATGTTAGAGGCTCTGGAAAACAGCATAAATTAGGTTTCTCAACATTTAAGACTAGTTTACGACTGCAAAAAGGCCAACTGTAGGTTTTTCATTAAAAGAATGCTGCAATTCTTCCACTATAATACCAAGATAGTCAGCTGACCAGAACAAAATGGTGTTGTCGGCATATTGATGTACTTTGCAATCGACAATGGAGGTGGCAATGTCATTAATATAGATATTAAATAATACTGGTCCGAGGATCAAACCTTGAGGGACCCCCTTTGTTACCGATAGTAGACACACATTGCTATCTATTGGAGAGATAATTTGTATTCCAGTTGGTAACTCTGTGGTCAAAACCAATATTTTATAGACTCTGTAAAAGTAGGGAAAGGGTCAGCTGTTTTAGAGGCTTAAGAGAGAGATCAATGAAAATGACTGCACAATGTTTCTTTGTATCAATGGCACTGAAAAATTATCTGAGATGAAAGTAGCAGCAGAGATTGTGCTATGCTTTGCACTAAAACCAGATTGGTAGTCTGACAAGGCTGAATTTCCATGGAGAAATGTCTTAAGTTGATCATTCACTAGGCATTCTAAGATTTTGAGATGGGTCTATAGTTATTAAAATCTGAGGCACAAACCCATCCATCTATTACTTTCATATCCTGACCCCTTTACACAACTCCCCCTTCTCCTTCATATGCACAGGCAGACACAGACACCCACCCCCACCCACACAAACACACATATACTGAACAAGCACGTGGGCCATTGATTTCTGTCTAATGACACGGGCAGCCGTGGCCAGGCCCCAGCCAGTACAGGAAGGGAATGAGGCAGACAGGGAAATGTGATTCCGATTATGGGATACAGCTTTAGATATGCTGACTCTCCACCACCACCCCCAGCAGCCCACATTCAGTCTGCGCTTAGCCCACAGTCAGCCAGCACTGGCAACCTCAACCAGGGTCACACACAAGGACTACGAGACCAGATTACAGCATAGCTCAGCATTGAGCAATTGCATCCGCTCATGTTCAAGTTCTTGGAAGTTAGTGCGCATAACAAAAGGAAAGGTTCCAATTAGGGATGCACCGATATCACGTTTTTCCCGCTAGATACAGATAACGACACCTCATCCTATCTAACTCTATTTAACCTAATTAGCTTATAAGTGCTAATTTTATAGAGTTGTACTTTTAAAATAAACTGTTCCTTGTTGGATTTTATATACACACACACACACACACACACACACACACACACACATATACATATACTAATATTAGGGGTGGGAATCTCTAGGCACCTCACGATTTGATTACGGTTACGATTCAGAGGGCTGCGATGCGATTATAAAACGGTTATCGATGCATCTTGATGCATCTTTTCTATACAGGATTTCTATTTTCTCACTGTGTGAGGACTTGGTACTTTCAAAGCAAAGTATTTGTCGTGATCCATAACGAATTTAGTTATGCATAGCAGCACATGTTTGGTTTTGGTCTCGTTGTAGAGAGTCAGGGGGGGGTCGCTGTGTCAGTAAAATATCTTCGAGACGAGACGCTGTATCTCGGCTCCAAAGTGTCCAACATAGCGCGAAAGGTTCTCAATGACTGAGAATGGACGCAAATCCTTGGCAATAAAAGCTGCGATAGAGTTTGTAATTCGCTTCTGAGTTGGGTGGAAGCTTTCACATTGCTTGCTCGATGGTCCTCTGGTTGGCAGCAAGTATAACCGGTAGGAAAACGGGTGAAACATGTAATGTGGTTTCTCATGTTTGTCGTTTCCAAAATATTTTAGTTTAGTGTGACACAACTTGCAAATAGTATGGCTCTTATCCAGGTCCCTTTTCCCCTGGCATGCAGACTGCAGGTCACCTAGCAACGCAGTCTCGCCTAGCTAGTACCTAACAATAAGGCAAAGAGAAAGAAATGAACATTTGAGATGACCTCTTCGCATTTATAAGCAACGTACTTGGTTTCCTGGAATGTTAAATTTGCAACGAGAGACTGTCAAACACTACAAAGTTGCGAAGATGAAGTCAGCTTTTCTTTCGAATTTCCCCAGTCCACCTTAAATGGGGCCGCATTTGCATTCTGGCGCCTCGGGCAGAATTTAAGGTGGAATGGAAAAATTCAAACAAGAAGCTGGAGAATGAGAAGCGACTTCATCCTTGTAAAACTGTTGAACGTTGAGAGACATTTTACAAGAAACTGATACGTTTGAAGAAAGGTTTTCTGGCGGAGATGGAAGGAAAGCGGCTATAGGTAAAGCTTAAAGCAGAGCAAAGTAAGTCTGTGTTTTCTTTTATATTTTTAGCCTATACTAGGACACTAACACATACTGAGACATACTGGACATTAAATGTTGTGGCTCCCAAGGTGGTTTGATTTTTGTTGAAAGGACAAAATGGCTCTTCTTAACATTTGAGTTTTCGACTTTTAATGCAGAGGGTGCCGGTCGGATATCTCGCTCGTCCACTTGTGCCACGTCACAGAGTGTTCCGACGCTGCACTTCTGCACTTCCAAGTTCTGCCTTTTGCGTTCCGTCAACATTATGTTATAAACTAAATAATCAGAAAATCGATTTTTGACATTTGTGAATCAATTCAGAATCGTCCACGTCCGCACCGCAATGCATCTAAGAATCGATTTTTCCTCCCACGCCTAATATATATATATATTTATATAATTGACATAATTACATAATTAGTCATAAGAACCATATTTAAGAACTGATTGTGCAAAATAGTTAAAAACAGAATTAAACAAAAACATAGATAAACTTGTGGTCTGTACATATAACTACACAGCATTTCGGCTTGGTAAAAACAACACTGAGTGTTGTTTCACATCAGAATTTTTCTGGTCATTTGTCTCATACATGCATCCCATGCACTCACGCCTACAACTCCAAATGTCAGACTCTGCCTGACTTCAGTAAATATTACAATCATTCACACTGTCAGTAGCAGTGCTGAGCTGCTGGACCAGCAGCTTGCACCCTAGACCAACCTTTTTTCAACTTCTTAGCTGCTGTCTACTTTGTACACATGACTGTGCAGAGTGATATTATTTAAAAGGCAATCCTCTTACACTGGCATGTCAATCTACATTTCCATTTAAATTTACCAAAAATAAAGTTTATAAATCTGATTAGAATGAAAAGAACTCCAGAGCATCCTACCTTCTTCACCCTGCCACTGTGGGTCCCAGCAAAAGTGACAGTGTGGCCACGGTAGTCATAGGCTGCCACTGAGGTCATGCCATCGTTTTTGTCCAGAAAGAGGGGGATGCCCTCGATGGTGGTTGTCCCACCCAGCGGCTGGTTAAAGTCCTGGCCACAGAAGTTGTCGTCTATCTGCAGAGGCTGTGGAGGGCAGGGGGTACAAGAGTTAGAGACTGGGTTGAAAGCACGGTGGTGAAATGCACATGGTGGTTTACACATCCTCACACTGGCACATAGAGAAAAGCTGACTGCAATCTTTAAGAGGGTCAATTAACAGAAGAACTTTGCTGTGTTTTACACAACAAATATCATGAGGGTAAAATGTGCTTTTAGCGCTTTATAATGGAGAAAAGTAGGTAAATAGGAATTGTATCTTTACCGTGTCTCCATTTGCTGTGAAGGACAACAATTGCAAAACACATTTCAGGCTCTTAAGCTCCGTTCACATTACAAGCCTCATTTCTCAAATCCATTTTTTACGCACATCCTACCCCGTAACGTCACGTGAATGAATCACGTACGTCACATGCATCATCAGCAAACAGACCAACAGGCAGAACGAGCCTTCGCTGTGAAGATAATTTGCTCTTAACATCTCTCAGCTGTTCATTATTAGAGTGAGACGTGTTTTTTTTTTCCACCGTTTACAGGCTTTAACTTCTGTTCGGCGCTGCTGCCATGGTAACGCTGAATGATGGTGCAAGCGCAGTAGAAAAAAAGCACATGAATTCTGATCTGAACGTTCACATTAAGGTCGCATATGAAAGTGACTCAGTTCGGATTTGAAAATATCAGATTTGCGTGTCCACATAGCCACGAAAACATCAGATCTGAGTGACATTAGGGCAAAAAATCGGATTTGTGCCACTTCAACCTGGTAATGTGAAGGTAGCCTTACACACGTGCTAACCGTGGCACACAGGTTATCCCATATCAGATCTGATAAGCAGCAACTGTACCTGAATTAACAATCACTCACAACAAACTCTGGCTTTCTTCAGTTCTACAGTATCCACATACCTCTGGGTCATTAATAGCTGCATACTGTAGCCTCCCTGGGAACGAATCAATCAGATAGTCATACAGAGGATATGCCACATTAAAACTCTGTGGTTAGCCTGGAGGAGGATTGGCCCGTTACGGTGTGAGGATCTAGAGGACCTGAGGGAGAATCATTTTCCACTCTCTCTCTCAATCTTTTGTGAGAGATTACTGCCAGTACATACGCACACCACATACAAGCTGTACAACACAATCACATGCATCCACTGGCCTGCACGAAGACAGACCCCACCCCCAACACACACACACACACACACACACACAAACGCAGTCTCCCAATGCATGAAGAGCCCCAGAAGACTTCCTCTAGGCTTTGGCCAACGGACTAGCCTCATTAGTAGAGACAAGAGCATTTGTGACCCCCTACCCCCACCCGCAGTCCCATGCTGCTGCCCAGTGGTGCCCCTCATTCCTCACCCAGCAAGGGACGGTAATGCTGCCAACAATGGCGAGCTTTGGGCATGGGTAGAATTTTCATGCTAGGCTACACAGTGCTGTCTGTAGAGGAACAAAACTAAGCTGTACAACAATAGCACATGTCCTTCCCCAGCCTCCCCATCAGAAAGGCCAAGGATGAGTCTAGAAATAGAATGAGCAGATTGGAGGGTTGCATGGGCGAACAGACAAGGGGAGAACAACAAGAGCAGGCAAACCTGTATAGGTGCAGAAGGCCTGGACTACTCATGGGAGCAAGGGGTTTCAGTATGAAGGCCACAAGTACAGAGTTACTGAGTATATTTTTGAGGTCACCATTTTCATTTTCAGACTTCAAAAAAGGGTGTGTTTAAGTTACTGCAACTGGTACTGCAAGCTAATTCAAGTCGATGAGCGAGCAGAGGTGGGAAAAGTCACTTGAATGGGGCAGAATTCAAAATAGTGAGACATTCCTGTAGTATTCATTATTGCACTGAGGTCACAAGTTTATGCACTAATAACAAAAGTAATAACCTAAAATATATTTTGAATGAGTCATGCTTGCTGACTATATACCTGTACTGTAGCCCCACAGCGAATGGTGGAAATATGGCAGCCACCCATGGCCAGTGACTGAGAGTGGCAATGATGCGTAACTATCTAAGACTTACCAGTCCTGGCGCCTTCTGTCTCCTGTTTGTTTTCTTCTGCTTTGTCCTCCATAACTCAAATTACAGCCTCATTTGGATGTGAAAGGCGGAGAGAGAGTGATGGAATGATGAGGACGAAATTAGGGGGATGTAGGGGTCCATCAGGGGCAGTATGACCCAAAACAGGGATACTAGGTCATTCCCTCACATAGCAACACTCTCTGGCCAAAATTTTAGGACACATAAACATATAAACAAGTCTGCAAGAGGACATATAAACAAGTCTGCAAGAGTATGACCACAGTATTTAGACTAATGATACTTTTGCAGAATAAAAGAAAGGAAATAGTTCTGAACTTTTTAATTGTCTATTATACGTGTGTTTCAAGTCTTGGGAAATGTATGGAAATTACTGTTTGTGTTAATATGACAGACAATGTGACACACATCTGGCAGAAATTATAAGATTAGATTACAAAAAACCCTGGATTCTTTCATTAAGGCTCTGCCCAGGTTGCTAATGTTTGTTTCTCAACATTAGATATAATTACAGTGAAGCTAGACTGTGAATTGGTGACTGAGTTTCCATCCTCTGAAACTACCGTCTCAGACCAGTGCTTCTTCTAGCATCTTACTTACCTGCCTTATTACCCCACTTATCTGACTGTTACCTCACTTATCGCTCTCTTTGCCACTATAGACACTTTAACTGCTGCTGCACTCAGCACTTTAACTTAAGACACATACTTTGCACAATGTAAGGTTTATAGGTATGACTGTGTGTGTTTGAGTGAATGATGGTAGGAATGCATGTTTAATTTAATTTAATTTTATTTTACTTACTAAGTAAATTATTTTACTACTTATGTAAATGTTTGTCTGATACTGTGCACTGTGAGCTCCTGTAACCAAAACCAAATTCCTTGTTTGTGTAAGTATACCTGGCTAAAAAAGCTTGATTCTGATTCTGAATGTCTCATCATACTCATTCTGAATGTCTCATCATACTGACCAAAACAAAACCAAGAAAAGGGATATGTGCACATTTCACTCTCTTTCTCTCATACACACACCTCTGTAGGCAAATGGAGTAAACCTGATCTAATAATTACATTATCTAATCAATTGCGCAGCAGACGAGTACCACCTCTGCCATCACTCCACCTCACTCCTCCTTTTATGACAAAGGGGATGATACATATGCACAGCTCTCAGTGGGTTCATTTGCCAGGTACAGCATTTAGAGCTTTACTGACCTTCCCTGGAGTTCAGTCCCAGAGAGAGAAGACTGTGTCAGTATTGGTATCAAGGGAATATATACTGTGAGAAAAGTCTGATGCAATAACATACACAGCTTACATATATGTTTGCTTCAATGTATTTTTATGTGTATAGCCCTATGATATCACCAGGTAACTAGGTTTGTCTACACAGGCATTCACTTGCATGCGTTTTTTTTTGGTGTGTGTGTGTGTTTGTGTGTGTGTGTGTGTGTGTACAGATTGTAGGCCACTTAAAAGGAGATAAAAGGTAGCTGCCAAAAGCCAGGATGCATGGAATGCTCGTGCCTAAGCCAAGAAAAGAGCTTCATCTGGCAGGAAGAAAATACAGTGCGATGAATACAGAATGCTGGCGGGATGCCAGGCTCATGTTTTGATTTGTGGCAGCTGATCTGCTGCAGCTACACTGCTTGCCCTTTGTTTTCTCCAGTCGTCCAATGCAGGATCTGTAATTGGGTCTTAATGGCACCGACACAAATGGAAGCCACCACTCTTTTTTTTTCTTTTCCTTCCTTTTTCCCCCTCTCTCTTTTTCTTTCTTTTTTTTTCTTTCTCTGTCTGTCTCCTTTCCACTTCCTGTCTCTGACTGTCTGTTATTCTGCCTTCCTATGTGCTGCAGCCTCCCACAGGCAGACCGACACTTACAGTGGTGGGCAGAACACTGATTGATCCCCGGAGCATCTCAGGCATATCTAAAATTACACACATCATATCAGCATGTCCGTCAACAGCAGGCTGGTTTACATAATGCTACCACTTGCTGATCCTGAGTCAGCAGCCTGGCTTCATTCATTATTGTGATCAGCAAGCCTGATACAGGGACACTCGATCTAAGATCACACAGTGTGCATACTGATTCGACTAGTTGACCTAGCAATGATTCAGACCATTCGGTTGCCCTATCACCAGCACTAGTCAGAAATATACAGGTGCTGTAAACAGGTCAAGCTGAGTGCTACCATTGTTCACTAAATGCTTTTATGCATTTACACTCCACAAACATGATGCAAACACAAATCTATATATTACTTATGAGATACCGGTGAAAACGACATCAACTCTGACCATTCACTCTTGCTTTAAAGGTTACAGAATACCAATCCTGGCCTGAGTCAAAGTATACCTGCTAAATTGCATATGCACACCCATCCAAGTTCATCGACAGCGCCTCCAAACACCCTATTAAGTAGCCACTAACTCAACCTCAGACTTTGTAATACGTCCTAATGTTTGTTTAGATCATTGGCTGGGGTTGGGGGGGGGCACAGATGTGTATTTAAGGCAATGAATGTCACCACTGTGGTTTTAGAATGATGCCTTAAGTCATGATGTGGCCCATGTGTGTTTTTGTGTGCGTCTGCTTTGGTTTCAGAGGAAAGTCGCACGTGTGTAGCCAGTGTGGTTTCTGCGATTTATACCACACCATGGGTGGATGTGAATGTGTGTATTTCTGTGTGTGTGTGTGTGTGTGTGTGTGTGTGTGTGTGTGTGTGCGTGTGTGTGTGTGGTGTGGAAAACACTGGTTTTAAAGGGCTGGTCTTTAAAGTTATATACTGTATGTGTTAGGGTAATTTACTAAAGCTGCACTAATACCAATAACATATTGGCATCAGCATCAATACAGGCATTTAAACACAGTATTGGTATTGGTGATGGGGATACTGATACCTATGACCGATACCACAAAGTAATTTCTGACGCACACACTCGCTGACGTGTGCATGTGCACAAGCTG